AGGGTCTCACTTTGTAGTCCTTCCTGCTTGGAACTTACTTTGTAGCCGAGGCTGGACCTCAAACTCAGAGTGATTCTCCTGTTTCATCTCCCAAGTGCTGGGATTATAGATGTGTGCCCATTCCCAGCCCCTGTAAATGCATTAGTGTTTATAGCCACTAGTTAGAAATTAAAAGATGCACTGTATCAGTTTTACATGCAGTTATATTTTAAAATACACATTTGAATGTGAATTTGACTAATCCTCAAAATTCTATCAGTTATAGCTGAGAGTTTAGAAATGATATGTAAACTAACACCAACTTGTTGGATTTTAATTTACATAAGCTTAAAATTGCTTATTTTTTATCCAAGTTCCAACTTCTTACTTCTTGTGTGATTTTTTTAGTGTATGCATTTTAAAAAATAATTTATTTTTATTTTTTGTGCATTGGTGTTTTGCCTACATGGATGTCTTCTGGAACTGGAGTTACTGACACTTGTGAGCTGTCACGTGGGTGCTGGGAATTGAACCCAGGTCCTCTAGAAGAGTACCAGTACCTTAAACTGCTGCACCACCATCTCTTCAGCTCCTTGTGTGATTTTTTTTTTAAACCCATTTTTTTTTTGTATTTAAAACAGCATCAGGGTCAACTGAACTAAACTTTTAATGAACATTTAGTCTTGCCAAATGGTGGGAAAGAGTCTTGGAGGACTGTTCTCAGGCCTAAGATTTTAAACGGTGAAAAAGATCCTTTTTTTTTTTTTTTTTTTTTTTTTTTGTCAAATATATTATGGTCATTCTACTATTCTTCAAAAACCTTCAGGTGACCTATTGGGTATTTCTTTCCTAGAAATCCCAGAAAATCAACCATACAATGTAATCTGGGCTTCAGTTTGGGTTTCCCCTGACACAGATACTGATGTTTGAACCTTCTCTTCCTGACAAGGTGCTTACACAACCAGTTACTTTGAGGTTTTATCTATGGGATTCGTGTCTTTTGGGCTCATTAAGAACATTTCCAGAGATTACAATGTCAATAGCACCTAATTACTGGGCTGTGAGAAAGGTCTGCTTGAGTACATAAACTGGGGGCAGTGTGGGGCACACAATGGGAGGCTCACATCCCACATTTTATCACAGGGAAGTTGCAAACAAATTAATAATCTCACTTTTGCTCTCTTGGGATAATTACTACCATGTAAAAAACTGCTTTCAGATTTTGCAGATAATGTTGTGCTTTGTTTTTTATTTTCTTCTATTAGTCAGATTTTTTTTTTTTAAATCTCTTAACACTGGCTACTGCATGAATGAAGCCCTGTGGCTCTCTTTAGAACTCTCAGACTTCATAACAAAGGAGTCATGTGCAGCCTGCTTAAGCAGGTCATCCCTGATACAACATTGTTTTGACTATAGATTATTCAATTCCCTTTCTCATTGCATGCACTAGCCTCAGATTTCAGTTTTTCTCATGCCTGATGGAAGACTAGTTACTTAAGAAACAAAGATAAAATTATTTTAATTTATGTGCCTACTGCTTACAGACTTTAGTTTGGGGTTCCATTAGAAATGGCTCAAGAAGAGAAGCAAATGGAAGAATGAGCTCCATATGTCTTCCAGGAGACTATTTTATTTAATCCTCTTAATGAGAGCACAGGGTAGGGTTGCCCCTGCTCTTACACAGCAGAGGAAAGCCACGAGGATCTGCCTAGGGATTAAGGGTTGAACTGAGATTGGACCTGGAGTCTGCCAGCTTCCCAGGCTTCCTGATGCATCACAAAATGTCTCCTGCACCTTGCTGAAACAAGATTACTCCTGGTCCTGTATGCATTTTGGGGTCAGATAACTCAGTTCAGGGGTGCCTGGCACAGATTTTTGGGCCACTTGATTGAATCCCCCAGTTCTACTGTTGGTATAACCTTAACAGTTTGCCAACTCTTGATGTACTTATATACGCCACCTGTTAAGTGAAGGAAATTAATAAGGGAAATCCTACCTCAGGGGGCACTAGAGTTAAAACTTGAGAAACACTTAGAATATTACCTCTTCCTACTACAAGGCATCTGTATACTCTGAAAGAGCATCCTGTGGTGTGGAAGTGCATCCTAGAAACTTAAATCTTTGAATTGCCGTAGAACATTGTAACAGAGAGGGTTACTGTTTTCATGTTCAATGGGGCATTTTAAGTCTTAAAATTAATTTGAATATTTTGAACAACAGCAAAAATAAACCTGCAACATCAAAGAGTCCAATTTCCAGTGCTGTAGACTTGAGCGAGTAGTTAAGAGAACCTGTTTGGCAAGCACAAGGACCTGAGTTCAAATCCCATGCACCAGGTAAAAAACTAGGTGTGACTGCATGTGCTTGTAATGCCAGCATTAGGGTAGAGACAGGTGGATCTTGAGAAATTACTGACCATCCAGCATAGGTAAGAAGACAAGTTTCCAGTTCCATGAGTGACTCTGTCTCCATTCAATAAAGCAGAGAGTGACAGAGGAAGACAATCTGGCCTCTGAGTGTACATACATGGGTGCACATACACTCACAGTCACACTCACAGAATATTCCATTTATGGTTCCTTGCCAGATACATTATTGTGAACACCTCTCTTTCTTCATGGTATATAAAGTGACACATATTAACTGTATAGCTAACACCATATTATTATTTGTGAATTAGTGCTTGAAAATACTGGTAACATTGAATTATTTTCTGGGAGCCTCAAAGGTTATTTTCTTAATCCTACAAAGTAGCTGGGGAGCTTAGAATGATTTGCTTGGTGGTGACAATGTTGTCCTTTATCAATGTGTTACGGATAATATCCATCCACGAGATACTGCCTCTAAAAACTGTATTCTAGAAGATTCATCCATTTCTCAAATTATTAAATTATTAATTTAGATTTTTTTGTTCAATCAATAAAAATGAAAATTTTGATTTTAGCAAATTTTGGCTCATTTGAAGCTAATTAGCCAGATGTGTTGTCTAATTGGGTTATTTCTCAGCATTATCATCAGAGTGAGGATGAAGATGACATGTGGAAATTTTATTAGAGATTTGCTTCTTTTTCTTTTGTACAGAGGCATTATGATGCAAATATTTTCACAGTGTGGATTAATAGCCAGAATTACCAGCTTTATGGATATCTGGGAACTCATGTTCACATACAATATTTATATTCAGTCTGATTTGTGTGACAAAAAAGTGAAATAATGAGTCTTTGGAGGACTTTTGGCAGACTAGGGGAGATAATTCTAAATTTTGCATTTCCAAGGATGAGGAAGGCATGGTAGTGCTTGGTTCAGCCAGAGCTGCTTTCCATCTGCAGTTACTTGTGCTATTTCTACTTTAAGTGAACCTTTGAAAAATATTTTCTCACCCTTGAAAAGTCAACTAAAAATTGCATAGGTGTGTGTGTGTGTGTGTGTGTGTGTGTGTGTGTGTATAAGACAGAACCTTGAGAATATAAGACAAAGACTCTCTACTGAGCTGTATCTGCAGTCCTGGAAAGTCAACTGTGGATGCAGTGGGTTGTTTGGGAATACACTGCTGAGGTCATAGTTTCCTAACTCAAATTTCAGGTAAACAACGAACTCTAAATTTACCAACCCACATTTACATATTTTGAAATAACTTGTGAGTTGGGATTTCCAATTTCACAGATGTAATTCATTATTTAAATACTATCATCTTTAAACATTGCTGTTTCCTAAGCTATGAAGTCCAATCTGAGCACAGCTGTAATTTACTGTCAGTCCTGAGGAGGCGTCCATCACTGTGAGTGCTCAAAGATTCCTTTGTCCCCCAGGAAGACAACCATTGACTTTATAGCAGCAGTGCATACAACCACAGGAAGCTTTCCCACTGCACAGATGTCTAGGAAAGGAGACCCCTTACACTGTCTGCAGAGGCCAGGATTTAAGCTCTTATCACACACATTGCCTGTGCAGAAAGTTTCATTACCTAGTCTACTTTTAAACATTTCCAGATATGCCAAATGAATCACTCATTCAGTGATCAGTCATGATCAGTGCTCATAATTCAAAGTAACAATGCTATATTTTGTTAATTCTACTTACTTACTATGTTCTACAAATTTAGAAGCTTGAAATAATGAAACATCTTTCCCCAATCCTAGAGATTGAACCTGGGTTCTCATATTCACTAAGAAAGCACGCTACCATTGAGATCTACCCTCAGCCCAGAAACTTCTCTGAGAACATGTATCTGCCCTTAGCCTGAACACTCTTACATAGATTTATTTTGGTTTCCAAGGTCAGAGAAATGGTTTACAGATATATAAACAAAATAAATTGGAGTGTAAGTACACATTCAATGAGAAGCTCTTTAGGGGGTCTATCAAAGTAGAATTTGCAAGAAACAGTCTTATTTTTCTGCTAATCATTGAATTGGATAAAATGACATTTAACTAGAAATTCAGGGTTGGGTTTTTTTAAATTATTCTTTTTTTGCAGTCTAATAAAAAGGTGTGAAATTTTAACTGAGATAGTTTCTGAGTTTAAAGAAAGACAAGATTCATTTTCAATTAGCAGCAGTCAGAATACAGAAATGCACAAAGTTTATAAATTGGCTGAAAAGTCCCAGTTTCATCCATACTACCAGATACCTTAAACAAACAAGGAAAGCAAAATAGAGGGATGATTTCTGTGAGGTTTGAGGCCAGCCTGGACTACAGAAAAGGAGAAGACAAACAGTTTAACTTGTTTTGTATCTTTCTTCTCAGTGTGAACCTTTTCTCCGAACAATGGTAGTCTTACCTTGTTTTCCTTTGGTGATGTGATGGCTGCTAGGGCCTCAGTATGCTAGGTTGGCATTATGGGAAACACCCCTACTCTCATTCCCTAGATTCTTACCTTTTGGCAAGTGTGTATAGGTCACCTGGTCACTGGGTATGTCCACAAACTTGTGCTCCATCTGCACATTAACCAAAGTGTTTCATTAATAAGTGTCAATAATATTAACTGATTAAATGTTTAGTAGAGAAAAACAATTGACCTACCATGGGTGAGTGAAAAACATTTGTCGGAGAGGATGACTCTGACATGTGCATTGTGGAGTGCACATACAAAGGCTTGACTTTCTGAAAGATACAAACAGTAGGTACTGTGGGCCAAGAGGACATCATAATCAAAGCAGAGGGACATGGACAAGCTTTGTATCAGTCAGGCTTCTCTAGAGTAGCAGAGCAGATATAGTGAACCGAAGTATATAAAACTTATTTAGATTTATTAGAGTGGTTTATTTAAAGAATGGCTTTCTCCCTATGGAAGGTTCAAGAATCCAGTAGTTGTTCAGTCTAAGAAGCTAGATGTCTCAGCTGTTTTTTGGTATATGCTAGAATCCCAAAGAAGTAGTCTGTCATGCCAGTGAAGAAATGAACTTGCTAGAAAGATCAAGCAAGCAGGCTTATTCCATGTCCTTTATGTAGGCTGCCACCAGAAGGTGTGGTCTAGATTTAAGGTGGATCTTCCCATCTAAAAAAAAAAAAAAAAAAAAAAAAAAAAAAAAAAAATCCAGATTTAAGATGGACCTTCCCATTTCAATGATTTAATCAGGAATCTCTCATAGGTGTACCCAGCTGCTTAGCTTTTAGTTAATTCCAGATGTCGTCAAATCGACAATGAAGAATACCTGTCACACTCTTTAACTCCTCAACCATGACATGAAAACTCTGCTTCTAACTTATTTTTTCAAATACAGAGGGAGAAATCCTTTCCTGTAAATCAATGGTGGTGTACATCTAGAGTCCCAGATACTCAAGCTGCCAAAGCAGAAGGACTGTTTAAACCCAGATGTTTGAGACTAGCCTGGGTAATGTAGAGATGCCCCAACTCAAATCAATAACACCAGCACCATCATCAACAAGTAGTAGCAAAGGTTCACTGCTTTACTGAGGCGATTTTGAGAGACGATTCAAGAAAAATATTCTCTTAGGAATCTAAGAGATTCATACAAGGTCTTTCACAGAAGGGGAAAGGAACAAAATCTCCTGAGCATGTTGGGAGTAGGGGGGCAGTGAGTGGAGAGGGAGCTAGGAGAAAGAGAAGGGACGGAAAGGAAAGCGCGTGGGACTAGGAAGATTGAGTCAGGGGAGGAATAAACCAGAGAGAGAGAGAGAGAGAGAGAGAGAGAGAGAGAGAGAGAGAGAGAGAGAGAGAGAGAGAGAACATAAAAGAGGGAGCCATTATAGGTTTCAAGAGAAAACTGACTAGAGAAATGCCCAGAGACCTACAAGACTGACCCCACCTAACAATTTGAACAACAGTGGAAAGGCTACCATGAATGCCCTTCCCTGATAATGAGATTGATGACTAACTTATCCACCATCATAGAGCCCTCATCTAGTAGCTGATGGAAACAGAAGCAGACACCCACAGCTAAAAGCTGAGCCGAACTGGAATCCAGATGCAGAGAGGGAGGAGTGATAAAATGGGGACGAGACCAGGCTACAGAAACCCACAGAGACAGCTAACCTGAACAAGAAGGAGCTAATGGGCCCCTAGACTGATAGTTGGGAATCCACCATGGGACTGACTTAGACCCCCTGAACATGGGTCTCAGTTAGAAGGCCTGGGTAGTCTAAGGGACCTCGGATAGTGGAACCAGGATGTATCCCTGGTGCACAAAAGGACTTTGGGAGCACATTCCCCACGGAGGGATACTCCCTTAACCTAGAGGCAGGAGGGAGGGCCTAGTCCCTGCTCCAAATGACTTGACAGATTTAGATGACCCCTCCTATAAGGGATCACCCTTCCCTGTGGAGTAGGGGGGGATCGGATGAGAGGGTGGTCAGGGAGCTTGGGAGGGTGGAAGAGAGGGTGGGAGAGAGGGAGGGAGGAAGGGAGGGAGGGAGGGAGAGGGAACTGGATTGATATGTAAAATAAGAAAGAAAGAAAAGAATGCTGTCAGATGAAAGACTTAAAAAAAGGTGGACACCACATTTCCCATCCTTTAGCTCCATTTTGCTTTGAGGACATTTGCCAAACTTAACAAATACATGTAAGAGTAGTCAAAGGCTCATTTAATCCAGAGGTAGAAGACACAACCCAGAATCCACTTAGAATGTGTGATTTAACAAGACCCCCTTGCTTCATGATGATTCTGGAGTCTTAGTAAGGCAAAGTGGATGTATGTATAGGGCTGAGGGGAGAAGGCAGTGCCATATGTACAATGTATATAAAGCAAACCTGTAGGGACAGAAGTTTTTCAGACAGCTATAGCTGCTAGCTCACCACAGAACATAACATTAAAAGTTAAAGGGGATCCTTATCATTGAATTGTTTGCAGCAGATATGATAAACCATTGGTTAAGAAGACTTAAGAAATACAATCCAACAAATAAAAATCACAGCATTATATTTTTAAGGAATAGATACAATGATTATACCCCTCCCCCAAATACTAAAAATGTCTGATTGAGTGACAGCCTTCTCATGGAACTTTCTATTTTGTTTGTCAGGCTGGTTAAACATCTAACATGAGGATAATGACAGGTGAAATTTCAAACTTCAGCGAGAGGGAGAAAAGGCAGGAAGAAAGACACTATGTTTTCCTTTATGTAGACCAGTTTTGGAATATTTCAAGGGACAATTGTTTGTTTTTAAGTCAGGGTTTCTTTGTGTAGTCCTGGCTTCCTGGAACTTGCTCTGTAGACCAGGCTGGTCTTGAACTCACAGACATCTGCCTGCCAAGTGCTGGGCATGCGCCACTACCATCCTGCTTAGGAGACAATTCTTAAAACTCTCAGGTTTTTAAATAGATTTTGGTAAAAATACTGTCCTGACCAGGTACTTCAGAATACTTTGTAGTAACTTATAGCTAGAAAAGGAGCTCAGATAGTGTGAAATGCAGATGGATAAGTAAGGCTGTTAAAGTGAGAAATGTTGAAAAGAACTAGAAAGAAAATTATTTTAGACTATATGTCTCTTATAGCAATACCCTACAGCCTGTTTTTTATGCCCTGTTTTAAAAACAAAACAAAATACCTGACTGATCAAAGAAAACAGCACAGCAGCAGAGGGTTAAAGGAGTTGCTACTCATGCTGACTTGTCAGTTGAAATTTACCAATCTGTCTCTAGACTGGCCACCATTCCTTTCATAAACAGTACTCTTTCATTAAGACAGGGCAAGTGATAATCTATTGCTGAGTTACACTTGATCTACAGGTCTATGCTACGGTCTGAATATGGTAGGTTGTGCCACCAAGGTTAGCATATTGGAAACTAGATCTCCTCTTATGACACTAATAAGCGATGGAACCATCAAGAGGTGCTTACTCATGGGAGGTCCTTATGTCACTTTGGGCTGTGCTCGAATGGTTGTTGCATGGAGCAAGCTTGGCTTCTTTGTTCCCTCTGCTCCCTGGCTCCGGATGTGACAACTTGTTCTGACAGACTCTCCTGCCATTGATGTTTGTCATGAAATGATACAGCCCTTGTCAGCCTATACTATGTTATTTGGACTTTGAAGCTCCAATTGTGATCTAAGTAAACTGCTTTACCTCAAAGGTCTCAGGTATTTTGTTATAGGGAATCTGGTATGTACGGTTTCTAATCAGGATGAATGACTTGGTGCTTACTCATTCCTCCATTTGAAAGTGACTGGAGACTTGGACTTGAAGTTGGATACTCCTAAACAGAACATCCGTGGGCAAAGATGAACAAATGGGCAGACACTACTATCCAGCACAAGAATCCCATCCTCTGGATCTGCACTGACCTCTATCTCAGCTCAACCATTATGCTGCATTGTAACAGCCTTGCTTACACATTTGTATTTCACACTAACTGAGCTCCTTGGGGCCCTGCACTTTGTTCTATGCCCTCAGGACCTTGTAGAGTGACTGTTGTGTATTATCACCAGAGCCTCTCATTCAATTGGAGTTCAATAAATATGTGTCTTTCATAGACACAGGTGCATGTATTCAAAGTACTTACAATGTAATTGAAGGAGGTGTCAGCAATCATTGCAAACTGCCGGAAAAGTGTGTGTCTAGTGAACATCTCATCCTTTAGGACATGAAAGCTGAAACAAAAGAAGTGATATAATAAGATGTATAGATATTATAGGATAAGACCAACACTTATGTGGGTAGGGACCATATGCATTTCTTAAATATTGCCAAGTAAAATATAAAATTATGAATTTAAACTTTCGTCTTCTTTAAAAACTGAATTTCTTAGAAGTAACAGCAATGACTACCTCTCAGACTGTAGGGTCTCATGGAAATGAATGAGGATGCTTTTGAGAAATGGCTGTTTCTAGATCTAAGGCATCAAACATGCAAGGGGAGTCCAAGATGTGTTACTCTACTAGAAATCAAGGGAACCATCAAAGGTTAGGCCAGTTGTGCAGTCTTTATCTGTGGAAGGCTCTCGCTGACTTAAGATTCAAGAAATTAAGCATCAGAAATAATAAGAACCACAACTTACCACTTAGGAAATGTTTAGCTTATTCCCAATGGGAGTGTGGCTGGACATGCTTTTTCTAGTGATTATAAGTGAACAACAAATATTACAGCAATATGGGGGGCAATATCTCAGTGCTAGAATACTTGCCTAACATGAATTCCATCCCCAGCACCAGAAAACAAAACAAGCAACAACAATAAACAAAAACAGCCAGTAACATTTTAAATATCCTCTCATGTCCTCCCTTTTTGAATGTGAATGTTTATAAGTATTATTGATAGCTATATCAACACAATGCCCCACTTTGCATTTGGGAGAAAATGGGCTTATTCATAGCTTTAGGAGCCCATAATGAATGAATTTGTGGCCGGAACCTCCCTGATTCCGAATTTAGTTCATGAGAATTGAGACTTTGAGATAAGAACCTTAGAAAGGGTTTAGACTTGAGCTGACATGGTCATGGGCAGGGTGAAGGGAGAGACACAATGCCCTGGGATAGCAAATCTTGCATATAGGACAGGTGTACTGATACATTGTTTATGATCTAATAAAGCACTGAAGGTCAGAATGCGAAGTTAGCCACAACCACAGAAGCTGGGTACTGGTGGCAGGCATCTTTAATCCCAGGAGACAGAGGCAAATGGATCTCTGTGAGTTCTAAGCCACCCAGGGATACATGAGAGTGAATCAGTCTAAAAGAGTAATGAGCTCACAGCTTTAATATACACTAGAGAGGTATATAAAACACGGGAACCCAGTGTCTCATGCTGTATTCTGAGAGTTAGTTTCCAGCTACGGTGAGGAGAGGATCTTTGCTTCTCTGAGCTTCAGCTTGAACCCCAGTATCTGTTTCTGGGTTTTTATTATTCATGCTACAGACAGGCATAAATATTTTTGGAGGGCAAAATAGTGGCCATGGTAAACTGAATATTCCTCAACACAAAAATTGCTCGTTTCTTCCCCATTCCCTTTTTGTAATGTGTATAGTCTGTGTGCCCATGTTTAGGTGTGCTCCGGTCCCCCCTCATATCTATGTTCTTCACACTCCCTGTGTTTGTGTGTGTGGACATGTACATGCTACAGAGTGATTGTGGAAGTCGGAAGACAACTATGGAAGTCATTTATCTTCTTACAGCACAGTGGGTTCTGATGGGAGGATTGTTGAGAGTTCAAGATCTACCTGGGCATTAGAGTGAGATCTTGTATAAGACAGCCCAAAACAAAAAGTATACATGTTTATAAAGCACAAGAGTTACAAGCAGATATGCAGAACAGAACAGGAACACAAAGAAGACATTTTCCCCAGAGAAGGGCACTTGTGCTCCCCATCTGGCATCATTTCTGGTGTCATGTGAGACCTTGGTTGATAGTCCTATTACAACATTGGGTGTAAGATTTTTGTACATGATGGGTATCATGTGCTTGTGACATGTAGGGAAAATGTACTATACTATTGCCCTGCAGAGCAAATGCAATACGTTAATGTCATGCATAAGCTTCAAGCTTGGCCTGCACTGACCCACATCAGTCCATCACTGTCCTCCACTATTAAGTTTCTTGCAAAGAAACTTACAATATGTGATAAACAAGAAAATGTGGTAGGAAGTTAAGTGAGGAAACAAGTGTTCTGGAAATGCATTTTTAAATGTTCATATGATGGGACAAAGGAGAAAAGCAGCAATTACTCTGCATAGCATTTATATTCAATACAAACATTAGATACTGTTAGTAAGGGTTTTAATTCCTTCTTTCACTCCCTCCTTACTCTCTCCTCCTTTCCTTTCTTTCTATCCTTTCTTGTTCATGTTTTCTTAAGACAGTATTTCACTTATTTAGTCCAGGTTGTCTCTGAGCTTAAGATGTAGCCAAGACTAGCCTCCTATTTTTAGCAATCCTCCTTCTCCATCCTCCAAAGTGCTGGGATTACAGGTGTGTGCTACAATATCTGGCCCAGAATTTCACAGATACACTCTCGCCATTAAAAAAAAAAAAGCAAACATAATTCAGGGAGAAGAAATTAAATGACTGCGTGAGTAGATAAAGGAACTGTGGGGAAAGGACCTGGTGTATGAAGTCATTTGTGAAGATGCAGACCACTTTTCATGATTATATGCAAACTGCTGCTGAGGAAGATACACGATAGGTGGGATTACACTCTTTCTTTTAAGTGATTCTGAACACCTTGCTATTTTAAACCATGTTGCAGTTCTTATTAAAAGTATGTGAGATCATCTAACATTAACTGATGTATAAAGAAAAACATAAGGGTCACAGTTGTCTCAAAAGACTAGTGGAGCATTTCTACAAATGGAACTCGTCTGTATATCTATACATACACTGTTTACACTATACCTGTTCCTGAGGATGAAGAACTTCCTCTCCCAGTTTTTGTTGATCTGATTAGCTTCCTTTCTAAACCTGGAACACATTTGCATGTGGTCAAATAGTTTCTCAGCTGCAGACAGACAACATGTGAATCATTAAAGCCCATTACCTCTCATTCCTTAACTTTTCCTTCTCCAATCTAGTTGTTAATGTCTTTATTTGATCCTGCAAAGCTTTTCTGTCTTCATCCTTTAAACAGAAAACACAAAAACCCAGCACAAGGTTAAGGATGGATGGTACCAGTCCTTTCTCCTAAGGCTATTTCGGTTAAGAAGTAATTGAATCTTGATTAACACCAACAGCAAGAAATGTTGGTATTGCCTTGAGAGAATAATGAGATTGACTTGAAAATCCCTAGAGATGAGCAGCTTTATGATTTCACACTCCTCTTTTTCTATAAATGATCGGATTTGGCTTTGTTACTTCCTAGGAAGAGTTGTAATCCATGAGTAATAATGAGGTTAGTAATGGGATTTGTCATTGTCATACCTTCAACAACTGTAATTTTAACAGTAGGTCTTCAGGCATCATTTGAGGTAGTAGAAATGTAACCTGTGAAGAGAATAAATGGTAGTAAAGACAAAATGTCAGATTAATGCATCAACATAGTTTTCCTTTCTATTTTTGTTTGAAAAAGGAAATAGAGTCTTGAAATTTGCCAACTGTAGCCCAGGGGTCTTCACTGCCTCATCTAATCCCTAAAATGCAGTGCACACATAACATACATGCAGCTGGCCAATGGCAGCTCTAGTGACAGGTAATACTTTACCATTACACTTCTAAAAACTTCTTAGAAGATGATTTATTTTATTTACATGACTATTTTACTTGTATGCATACCACCTGTGTGCCTGGAGCTCAGATAAGTCAGAAGGCATCAGATCTCCTGGAGCTGGAGTTACAGATGATTGTGAGCCACCATTTTGATGATGGGAATTGAACTCAGGTCTCTTTGGTAGAGCAGTGGGTGCTCTTAAATGCTTGAGTCATCTCTTCAGCCCCACTCACATCACACTTTTAAAACCGCAAAGCAGGAAGTCATTTTCCAATGAAGTAAGTTTTTTAAGTACTTGAAAATTTCCATTGCTAGGCTTATCTGTACAAGGGCCAGCAGGTTATTTGGAAGGAAGACAATATATTGGGTACAGGATCTTGGGAGAGAGTTGGTAAAGTGCATGCCTTACAAGCCCTAGGACCAGAATTCCATTCCCAGAACCCATTTAAGAATTTCAGGGCTTGGTGGCGTCAGCTTATAATGGTGGGAAGGATGAGATGGGTGAATCTTTGGTCTTACTGCCCAGGTGAGTGAGAGATTCTGTCTGAAAAAGGAGGAGGAGGAAGAGAAGAGGGAAGAGGAGAATGAAGAAGGGAGAGAGTATGTCACATGGTTCCGGAGCAGTGACAGTTCAACGAATTCTTATGGGCATGTGTTCATACCTACCCAAATTCACCAATATGCAAATATACACTGTGTTGAAAACTCTTTTCTGGGCTAGAAATATAGTTCAGTGACAGAATACTTAGCTAGTTCACATGAGGTTCCAGTTCCATTCCCAGAACCATCACTACCACTGCACCACCACCACCCCATACACACCTTGGTTAATGAATGTTGTTGTATTTCTATGTGGTAAACAAAGAAGTTCCCCATCAACACTACACCACATTTTGCAAGTAGGTTCTAATTTCTTCATAACCTCATGGTCCATTGCCCTTCTTGGTAGAGTTGGCTGTGTCAAAGAAGGGGTTAGAGAGGGCTGAGCAGTTCTGCATTCTAAAGAAAAAGAGCTCCCCCAGGTAACCAAAAGTAAGAGCTGAGGTGAAGATAGGCCAAACTCAGAAAGTGGGAGGTGCCTGTGTTTGAGGGCAGCTAATGACAAATACCCTGACTGATAAGTTTGGAATGGCAAATTTGGAATAGCATCTTGTTGACTCAAACTCAGTCCCTTATCTGTGTAAGTTTCCTCAAACTCATACACAAAGGTGTAATATGTGCAGGATGTGTCTGGAACTGTGCAGAGAAATTACAGTGCCAGATTGCATTCAAGCCTGGGTTTTGATGGTTAATTTATTTTAAAATTATTTTTATTACATCTTTATGTAGTTTATTTGTCTGTGTGTGTGGGAGGTGGGCAAACATGGGCCTCTGGGCATATGTGGTGATCAGAGAACAATGCAGGGGTGGTGGGGGTGGTTTTCTACTGCCATGTGATCTCAGTGATTAAACCCAGGAGGTCAGACTTGGCAGAAAATCCTTTTCCCAATTCATGGGGTGAATCTTGTCATTTTGACTGGATTTAGAAGTGCATATCAGATTATCATTTGGAGTGTGTGTGTGTGTGTGTGTGTGTGTGTGCGCGTGCGCGTGTGTGCGCGCGCACATGCGTGTGCACATAGTGGTGGGGTCTTCCTCTATCACTCTTATCACTCTTCACCTTGTACTTTTGAGATAGGGTCTCTCACTGAACCTGGAACTTACTGATTGTCTAGGCTGGCTGGCCAGCAAGACGCAGGGAGCCTCTCAGTGCTCCACCTCTCAGTGCTATGATTACAGGTACATACTGCCATGCCCAGCTTCTCAGAGGTGCTGAGCATCTAAACTCAGGTTCTTGTGTGTACACAGCAAAGCACTATCCACTGGGTGATCTACGCAGCCCTGCCTATGGGACTGCTAGAACACAGTTCTGGGTGTGTCTGAGAGAGGACATTTCCAGAGAGGAATGACTGAGCTATAAGAGCCAGCTTGAATGTGTGTGGCACCGTTCTGTAACAGCAAGAACCTGGAAGCAACCTAGATGCTCCTCAACTGAAGAATGGATAAAGAAGATGTGGCACATCTACACAATGGAATACTACTCTGCAAAGAAAAACAATGGAATCTTGAAATACACAGGCAAGTGGATGGAACTTGAAGAAACCATCCTGAATGAGGTAACCCAGTCACAAAAAGGGGAACATGGTATGTACTCACTCATATATGGATTTTAGACCTAGAGGAAAGGATTACCAGCCTATAATTCACACCGCCAGAGGAACTAGGATACAAGGTGAATTCTAAGAGATCCATATAAGGTCCCTCACAGAAGGGGGAAGGGACAAGTTCTCCAGAGCACATGGGGAGTGAAGGGGGGCAGTGAGTGGAGAGGGAACTAGGAAAAAGAGAAGGGGAGGAGAGGAAAGCATGTGGGACTAGGAAGATTGAGTCAGGGGAGGAATAGATGAGAGAGAGAGAGAGGGAGCGAGAGAGAGAGAGAGAGAGAGAGAGCATAAAAGAGGGAGCCATTATAGGATTGAAGAGAAAACTGAACCTAAAGAAATGTCCAGAGACTGACTCCAACTAACAATTTGAGCAACAATGGAAAGGCTACCACAAATGCCCTTCCCTGATAATGAGATCAACCACTAACTTATCCACCATCATGGAGCCCTCATCTAGTACCTGTTGGAAACAGAATCAAACACCCACAACTAAACACTGAGGCAAACTAGAATCCATGTTGCAGAGACACATAGAGACAGCGGACCTGAACAAGGAGGAGCTAATGAGCCCCCAGGCTGATAGCTGGGAATCCAGCATGGGACTGACTCTGACCCCCTGAACATGGGTCTCAGCTAGAAGGCCTGAGCAGTCTAAGGGACCTCAGACAGTGGAACTAGGATATATTCCTGGTGCACAAAAGAACCTTGCAGGCACATCCCCCAATGGAGGGATACTCCCTTAACCTAGAGACAGGAGAGAAGTCCTAGTCCCTACTTCAAATGATTTGATAGATTTAGATGACCCCTCCTGGATGGCATAGCCCTACATGTGGAGTGGGGGTGGAGTGGGAGGGGTGCATGTAAAGATGGAGAGAGGGAAAGAGGGATGGAGGGAGGGAAAGAGGATGGAAGGGAAGGAGAGGAAACTGGGATTGATATGTAAAATAAAAATAGAAAAAAAGATAGATATCTCATGAAAACAAACATAAAAAAAGAAGCCAAGAACATGAGATACCTGATCCAAACCCTGACCACCAGGAACAGTAATGCACAGCACTTAGGATATGAAGGTGAAGGATTAGGAGTTTGAGGATCTTGTTGGTAGTAGTTTGAGGTCAGCCTGAGATAAATAGAGATTCTGTCTCCCAAAACAAACAGACAAATAGAACAATTAATCAAAATTACAGGTTCACTGTGCCTAGAGGCAGCTTTTTATCCCTGACTTTTAATACATTAGATCCTGTATAACCATTGGGAAAGCTGGGGAAGAATTAACAAAATGAAAAGGGAAGAAATTCTCAAAGTGACACAAGGCAAACATATTTAAGGATCACTCCATCTATTTGTCCTCAACAGAGACAGTCTACTTGAATGGTCTGTCTACCAAGGCAAGGGGTACTGGGCGAACTCAGTGCCCTTTGGTCAACCGTAGGCCATGGAGATCATGGCACAAAAACTCCAGACACTCTAATGCTTTCACCACTATGCTGAAGAAAAGGTACCCAAAGTTTTAAAAACTCAGATAATTAGGAAAACAAAATCAAAACAAGGTGCCATATTGGAAGACATTGATGTCTTACTTCATACCATCCAAATTGTATCAGCAATTAAAATTTTATTTTAACATTCTGCATTTGAATTTGTAATGAAGTTCATTATCAATTTATAAGGTTCTATTTTTCTCATAAGATGGTCAACCATGGGACTAGAGATAAGACTGCCGCAGCAAATCTTCTGTAATGCAAATAACTATTCAGTCTTCCCAGAAGATAGTTCAGTTGTGACAATGGAGATAGCATTTCTTTTCATAAAAAGCAAAACAAAGGAAAGCAAAGCACCCCATATTGACTACAGTGTTTGTTCCTTGTCCCAAGTCAAATTTTCCACCTTGCTATAGCACATTATATTGAATCCTGGCTCTGTCCACATGAAACTGTCATTTTGTTTTTCCAGCTGCTGACATTCCACTTTCTCTGGAATACACAGGCTGGTCTTTATGTGGTCACTCCATTGACAGGTGCAAACACTGGACTGCCAAACAATGGATGGAAATGAATATGAAGGGTGGTGCTAATGAGACAATACTTAGCTTCCTGAGTGGGAAAACAAAAATTAAATGACTGTACTTATACTATGAAGCTGTGATTATGAACCAATTTTTCCAAGTTTGTTTCTCTTTTGAATTTATGACTAAAATTTCATAACAGAGTATTTATTTTAGGAGCTGGAGAGATGGTTCAGAGTTAAGAGCACTGGCTGCTCTCTCAGTGAACCCAAGTCCCATTTGCAGCGTCTACATGATAGCTCATAATCATCTGTAATTCCAGTTCCAGGGAATCCAATGCCCTCTTCTGGTCTCTTTGGGTGCCAGGCACACAAGGAGTTTCCAGACATACATAAATGCAAGGAAAACATCCATACACATATAAAATAGAATTTAAAAAATAATGAATGAAAATATTTTATGCTGTGTACAGTGTGTGATTATATGTCACTATGATTGGTTTAATAAACAAGGTCAACAGGATGAAATTAGGTGGGAAAGTCAAAATGAGAATGATAGAATGAAGAAG